CAGCTCAAGAGTTAAAACACGAGCTCGTTTCTGTAGCTGGTAACAGCCGCGTCAACCTTTAGGTGGCGTGGTTTGGTGACGAAACACTTCGCCTGAGCAGCAACCAATCGAAAACTTCAAAAAGTGGTGGCGCGAAGAGCTGTGAGCTCTCTCCGCGAGCAAGCAATGCTCACTATGATTGATCATTGTATTCGAGGTCACACTGATTCCTTAAAATGCTCCGTCAACTCCCTTGGTCAAAACTAGTGGGCTGAGTTGAGTTGGGCCCTCCTACCCAGAGCACCACCATTTTCTCCTTGCCTTGCTCCCATTGGTCGAAACCAGGGGTTGAATTGGCTTCGCTCTTCCCACTCAGAACACCACCCTTTCCTCCATGCCTCGCTCTCATTGGTGGATTCCACACTCATGTCTGCCTATGCATGCAACATAGGATCATAGGATGGGAGACAGACGTGTCTGCCCATCAGTCTAAAGATGGGATGCATATTACATCGGGAGGGTGGGAAACCTTACCTAGCCTAACACCTAATCGGAGGTGACATTGTTCTACCCTTTTTTAGGAGTTAGGTATGGGTAGGGTTTCCCATTGTAACCTCCACGAGTTCATAGATGATCTTTTACAGTGGTTTCCGTCAGACATGAGCAGATTTCCAACGCTTGTTCGGTTCGTCCGAACATGTTCGTGACCAGGTATGAGCACGGGGGCGACTGGGGCCGGCCCGAAATGCCCCGGGTTGGGCCTCAAATTTTTGCTGTCGGCCCAGGGCAGGCCGGGCCGTCGGCGGCCCGCTTTTGGCCCGCCCGTTTAGAGGCGGGCCAGGCCGGCCCGCCTTGAGGCGCGGCCCGGGTCGGGCTGTTCTAGCCCGCCTATTTCCCCTGCGACAATCTGCTCAGTGAACTCTACTTATAAGCTAAAATATATGCTGGCCGAGAAAACCCTATGAGTTGATTACGCTGTCGATTATATCTCAGGCCAACAAATGCGGCGAGATCTGGTCGACCTGGATTGGAAGTTGATGGACTGGTTGGAAATTCTAGATTCAGTGCGGAGAAATGCGGTTTTTGGTGTATTTTGTTGACATGATTTGAGATTTGAATCAATTTCGTCAGATCTCAGGTCCCCGGGGAATTGACTTTGTCGGGGGGGTCAAATTTGAGTTGCGCGACAGTTTGCGCAAGCTCCAACACAAGCTCACCCCTTGCTTTTCGCCATATATTTACATCTCACCTAGCTCGTTTCCTAACTTATAGTTTATCTCTCACTGGTTAGTGTTAGTTTACCGTTTTAAAGTAACGGTTATATCAATGGGTGACAAAATAGTGCAACCGGGTTTTGTTGGGTCTTGCTTGGTTGGGTCGGGCCATCCTGGCCCGAGTACAAAATGGTCGGGCTCGGGCCAGGGTCTTAGTCATTCGGCCCGGCCCATGCTCAACCCTATACGTGACCAAACCGGACCGAACATGTTTTTTGGCCAAAAATGTTTGGTCGAACATGTTCGATGTTCGGAAGGGAAGGGCGGGGTGGGGGGGGGGGGAGGAAGTCAACGGGTGAGGAGCTGGCCCACTGTAAACACTCTCGAACATATTCGGGTTCGCCCAAACGTGCACATGTTCGCCCCCTATCACGAACCTCACCTTAAATTCCTCAAAACTGTCCGGGCGAACCGAACATGTTCGGTTCGGCCCCTTCACATGTTCGGTTCGGCCCCTTCACATGTTCGTGCAGGGCGAACCGAACATGTTTGGTGTTTCCCCGTAGCTCATCTCATGTCTAGTTTCCATGAACATTGCCAGAAATTGGTTGATTCCGGATTTTTTCACCGATATACTAACCGGTTTCAGTTAGGGCTGCGATTAATTTGCGTCTGTGAGTAGATCTGCCCTTAGTTGGAAAAAACAGACTTTGGAATTTCCTGCCGGAGGACATGCATCCAAACAAAATGCATATGCAAATCCGAAGTGGTCCAGCTCAGCATATAAATTTACGAATCCTGAAGTGGGTGGCCAGAAATTGGTTCGTTGACGAACCGGTTAGGTTTCGTAGTATGCACATCCCTAATGTAAATGCACGTAACGGCATCACATTACACACGCTACCTCCCACCATGCACGTCTTATCCCCGATTAGGTCGACCGTGTGTGCTTGGTGTCCCCCATTTGTGCAATCTCTTTTCTTCTTCTCACATATTCCACCCAAAACTTTGCCACGCACAGGTCTCTTTCATACAACGCTTTGGTCGGATCCATTACTAGTAACCTCTACCCGTTCATCCAGCTTACTTATCTGTACGAAACACCTCGTTTTAGCCTGTTGCTAAGCATGCATGATCAAAGGTTGCATGAAGCTGGATGCCAGAAGCAAGCAAGAAAACAAGAAGTTTTAGGTAATCATAACTAGATATGAGCAACGAACCGAACTTAGGTTCGGTTCGAGAAGTTCGGTTCGAGTTATCTCGAACAGAGCTTTTTTTTTTTTGGCAAAAAAGTTTCGAGCAAACCTACGAGAAGTTAGCACGAACTGTTCGCGCGAACTTTTTCAGTTCGTGATTCGAACTTCGAACCGCGGGGGGTTCGAATTAGATCTCCCGCCAAACCGAATCCCCCTCGACTTTCCCGTTAAAATCGGGAAAGTCGAAAGGTTGGCTGCCATTTTGAGGCAGCCAACTCTAGGGTCGAAATTATAGTAGCTCACATCTAGATCTAGATCAAGTATTTTTCAGATTGTCGGGATTTTTTAATAACCCTCTTAGTTGCTTTTTTTTTTTTTTTTTAATTGATGCTCTCGTCTAAACCGTTAGATATGCATGTGTTTTAGGATCCCTTGTGCATCACTTTTAACCTCAAACCTAAGTAGGCTCGAGTTCGCACAAACCTCTCAAGGTTTGCGCAAACCTTTATGGTTCGCCATTATATACTCAAACCTCAAACCTTAAAAGTCCAAATAAAGTTTGAGCAAACCTGTTCGGTTCGGTTCGACCAACATGCAAGGCTCGAAAATGTTTGAGCAAACATGTTTGAGTTCGGTTCGTGCCCATATAATGAAGTATATGGCCACGCCGTTGGCAGTCAAGCCAGTCTGAATACCCCGAAACTCTCCTGCGTGGACTTCCTCCTCTCAGCTGAGATTTGACAAAATTGACAATTCTTGTCGAAGAGGGTGTCTGATTTGAAACCAGTTCGGTCTATAAGAGCCAATCATGAGCTCGTTCGCTTCGAACCGAACTGCGAATCAATATGCTTGTCTCCTAGCATCTTGTCATCCCCCGATTAAGTCCACCCTGTGTTAGCCATGAGCAACGAGCGAACCGAACACGTTTGACGCGAACAGTTTCCGAATACCCAAACCGAACACGTATGACTCGAACAGATTATCTAAATGTTAGTGTTAATTGTTCGCGTATAGGGTCGAACAGTTTTGAGGCAAGGCCGAACACTAAGGTGTTTGCCACGAACTCGAACAGGTTGCATTGTGATGTACTTTCTAAAATAAGCTCATTCATGGCATGTAAGAGATTAAGGGCGCCTGTACTAAAAGCAAAATCACAATGTAAATAAAGATATTTTCTCAATGCCGCTCACTCAAGGTCTAGTCAGCTATGGATAAATAAGTCAATAGCTCAATGTCAAGGGCAAGGTCAAGTCAAGTATGTGCAAAGCTAAGCCAGAGTGCCCACCAAGTCCTCATGCAACACCCCCAACCCCCCCTCCTCCCACCACAGCAACAGCCTCCTCCTTATCCCCCTCGTCTAGCCCCTATCCCTCCAATGCCAACTCTGGTGGTGCCTGCTCCCCACTGCGGCTGGTCGCCTCAACGATAAGCTCTCTAGGGTGTGACGAGTACAACGACCTGAGAGTCATGCTCGCGCTTACACTCTCAGTGTTCAGCTTGAGCCTGTGCAAGGAGATGAGGTTCCTCCCCATGGAAAAAGCGCGCTCGCTAGCTGCAGAAGTGGCTGGAATAGCGAGGTAATCTCATGCCATCTGCCTTAGCGTATCCATGTTCTTCGCACGCTGCCAGTACTGCAGCGCGGACACGTCCGAGACAGGCAACTCCACCAAGTTCCGATCCGCTTCATTCCCCACTGACGTCCCTCTTCCCCCCGCTCGCGCCGCTGCACTAGCTGAAACACCTCCCGCAGCTTTGTCCTAGAGAACACGAACGCGTCGTCGTCCTCCTGCAGCTGCGCTCCACTGGTGCTGGTGGTGGGTTGGGAGCATCACGTGCTGCTCGGGCCTGGTACACCTCCACTTGGCGGCGCACCAAGATCACCACCCTGTCCACACTCACACGTGGCTTAAGCCGCCCGCCCTCACATGCCACTATGCCCGGATTCTTCAGCTCCCATTACGTCATCCTGAAATACTCTGCCTTCATGGACGGATCCAAGAAAGTTCGCGATCCAGTACTCGTCGCTGATGGCAAACTCGTACTTCTTCGGGTGCTACAGCGCGGCAGTCATGACTGGACGAACCAGCTCATGCGTGCCTGTATGCAGCCTCTTCTCCAGGCTGTCGAGGAGGGCGTTGTAGTACAGCAGCACCATTGACACAGTGGGGTATGTCGAACTGTCGGCGACCTTGGAGACTCTGGCGAAAGGACGGAGAAACCCCTCCAAAGCCCCCAAGACTTCCCACTCGGCATCGGTCACACGCAGAGCTCGCCACTTCGCCTTCTCCTCCTGCGTGGTGCCTTGTTGATTAGGTGTGTGAGGAGGGGGCGGGTGGCATGACATTGAGTACGACAAATGCTAGGCGTGGGAAACGGTGGTAGACCCAACCTTGTGGACTCTGGCAATCTTCAAAGCAACAATCCTAATGCGACGAATGAACAAAGACTGCTATGAACACGAATGAAGCCGTACCTGCTCGTGGGCAAGGGGCATGTCAATGAAGGGCCTCAGTAGCAGGAAGAGCTGAACCATCTCTTGTGTGGACCCCCAGCGCACAGGACTGTTCTGCACGAGCTTGTGCAGCCCTCCCTTCAGCGGACCATGCCGTACCTACAGCGCAATGAAGACGGCTCCTCGCTTGGGCAACATGCCCACCCACGACGCAATGGCCCGCACCTTCTTCATGGGCCCCTGCACCGACTCGACACCCAGCCCAGACTGCACTGCCAGGTTCACGATGTGCGACAGGCACCTGCAGTGGATTGGATGGGTTCATGGCTCCAACAGGTGAACGTGGATACAAGGGTGTTGAGGTGTGAACGGAAGCGAGAGGCACCAAGTTTAGCATATGCCGAGGGGAATGTGAGGGAGTGCAAGTGAATCTGCCAACGAACATGAAGTGCGCCATCTCGCTGAAGTACTGCGATAAGTCACCCTCCTCCGCCAGGTGTCGAAGAGCGACAATGTTTGCAGACGCATTGTCGGTCGTGAGACTGAGGCAACACGTCTGCAACTTGCGGAGATAACTACTCTAACGGGAGCTAGACAATGGGGTAGGCATGGGTGCTCGTGTGATCTCCGCGTTTTTAGTTCCTTAGTCATTTTCCTAGTGCACACACTGCTTGCTAGTTCAGGGGGAAATTTGGCAAGAGTTTCACTAAGAAAGGTTGACAACAATAGTTCAATGAAGTTGGCAAGACAAGGCTACATCAGAGCAAGCATGCAAGCAGATCGACTGCCAGCGCGGCACGGCCGACCGCGTTCCAGCACGACTTGGTCGACCGCGCTCCAGTAGTGCAAATTCGGCGGCGTGCCAACGCTGCAGGTTGATGGCGTGCCAGCGTTGCTCCCGCAGAACAGCAGCGCACCTACTTCGCAGGTGCTCGCAGATGATTGGCGTGCCGAGCCTCGTCACCTGCACAACGCACACACCAAATCAACCTGGCGCTGACGACTGCATCCGACCAGCCACGTCGACCTCAAGATACCATCACCGAGGTCGGTCTCGCCAACATTGCTTGGGCGACCGTCGCACTCTTTCGCAGAACCTCGTCACCCAGGTAACCTGGTCAACCGGGCAACCACGTCAACCAGCTGCTCTTGTATGTGCCGACCAGCTCCACGTCCACGAGCATAGACGTCAGCCGACCACTCAAGTCGGCTACCCGAAGTCGGCGTCACCAAGCTGACGCCCTGCTACTCAACGTCCTGAGTCGTGGTCGGCGTCGGCCCCTCCTCCGTCGACCACCAAGTCAGGTTGACCACCAGGTCGACATCACGCCTGGTCGACCAACCACCAAGTCGGCTGCCCCAAGTTGGCGTCACCAAGTCGACGCCCTCCGCTGGTCGACTTCCCAGGTCGACCTCCTTGGAGTCGGCGCCACCCTGAAGTCGGCGCCCGTGCAGTGGCCTTCGTGCAGGTCGAGCTCCTCGTCAACCAGCTCGCCCACTGCTGCAGGTTGGCTGCAGGTTGACGGGGCCACACCCAACTTCCGTTGACACAACTTCCACTACTCCACCAACTTCTCCACCGCCTTGGCGATATCCTTCCCCCCATGCCCGTCAGGCATCTCGACGAAGGCGAGAATCACCAGGCGCAACTCCCACTCCTCCAACACGCAGTGACCTATCAGCACCATGTACACCTTGCCATTCGGGCCTGTCCACATGTCGGTGTTGTACGACACTGCACAGGTTGTAGAGGTCAGCTCCGCAATCGCTGCCTCGAGCGCCAAGTTAGCAAGGACAACGATGTCGCGCGCCATCGTCCAGCGTGATGGGATCACGCCCTTTTCAGCACACTTCTCGTTCAGCAAGATCAGCAGCTCCTTGAACTAGGGTTGCATACAGGCACGAACAGGGTTGTAGAAGGTGTAAATGGATTCGGTTGTAGGGGCGTGTGTTGTATAGCATTGCAACCACTGCTCAACAGCAAGCATGATGGGATGCATCTTACGCGTTGATGCCTTGGCAAGACTCCAATTAAGTAGCACGAGCGACCAGCACACTCAACACACCCACACACAGCGTACAAGAGAGGAGGTGAATGGGCAAGTCTCCGGTCACCACTAGCTTCGTGATCGCCTCACGAAGCTTCATCTTACTGAGCCTAGCCGTAACACAGCACTCAATGCCGCCTGCCTCGCCCTTCGCGCTCGGGGTTGCCACCGTCGGCACATTGGGCCACGAGGCCACGTGTGGCCAATTCACCACCTTCTTGTCGGGAACTCCTTCGTAGCCCCCCTCCGGAAAGGTCTCCCCTGGAGTAAGAAGGTGTGGCCTTAGGGACCTATACTCCCAAATGTCGTGGTGCGCCGTGTGCTTCACTTGAAAGTGGTGAACCCTTGGAGTCGTAGTGCCCGTCGACCAACAGATACGAACATCGCACATCTTGCACTTGCGCTTATCATCCGCCCCCAATGGCCCAAACATCTGGACCTGCCAACCCGGGGCCTTACCGCTCTTCACGGACTTTGTAGGGAGATCATTCTCATCTACCAACGCAGCCACACCATCCTCTCCCCCCTCCCCCTGGCCTTGTTTGCCTTTACCCTTGCCCTTCTTCCCTTCCCCTTGCCCTTCCCCTTGGCCTTCCCCTTGCCCTTCCCCTTGGCCTTCCCCTTGCCTTTGGTCTTCCCCTTGCCCTTCCCCTTGCCCTTCCCCTTGGCCTTCCCCTTGCCCTTCCCCTTGCCCTTCCCCTTGGCCTTCCCCTTGCCCTTCCCCTAGCCCTTCCCCTTCGCCTTCCCCTTGACCTTTCTCAGGTGCTGGGACTCCTCCTCCTCCGCAGCCTCCTCACCTCTACCCTCTCCCTCCCCCCCCCCTCCTCCTCCTCCTCCTCCTCCTCCTCCTCCTCCTCCTCCTCCTCCTCCTCCTCCTCCTCTTCCTCCTCCTCCTCCTCCTCCTCCTCCTCCTCGTCGTCGTTGTCCTCATCCCCCACCCTTGCACCCTCCCCATCTTTCTTTGGGTCATAATCCTTGTTGTCACTGTCAGATGGACTACCTTGGATGCGGGGGCACTTCTTTTCGAGCCGCCACTCTCCAGCCAGTCCCTTTGGCTCCCCCCCCCCCCACCCCCCACCCGTAACCATTCTCCCCCTCTCCCCCCCCCCCCCCCCCCCCCTCCTCCTCCGCATCCTCCTCCTAAAGCTTTTTGGTGATGTGGGGACTGCTAGGTGTTTCCCCCCTATGTGTTTGGCAGGTGCGAGAGGGCTTGTGGTCCCAGTTGCAGTAACTAATGCAGATGTGCGAGGAATGGCATTGTCTTTGCTGCTACCCAACCCTTAATCAGGAATTTCAGAATCCATAATAGACTAGCAAAAAAAACGACGGAAAACAAGGTGTTCTTCACGTTCACTAAAGCCCTACATCAGTTAAAGTAAGGCTTGGCGCGGATCTGATGGGAATCTATTTCACCTTGCTGAAGTTTATGACAAAACGAAATGCTATTTATTTCTGTTTTTAACAGTTTCCTACCTAATCTACCTTTATACTTCACGTTCCTAGTCCCAATCTGGATTTTAAACCGTGGGAATGGTGCAGTTTAAGAGGGTAGTGGGCGGAATGCTATCCTTAGTGAAAATCGACAATTGAGCTCAAGAATGAGCTCAATTGTCGACATCCGCTTTTAGATCCAACCAGCGCGTAAAATTCTGATGCGCTAGATTTCGCGCGAACACCTAGGTGTTTGTGCATTTTTCTGCACATGAACACTCGAACAGTCGAACATGTTCGTGACGAACACCTTGGTGTTTGAATCGAACGTGTTCGAATCGAACCGAACAGGGGTTTGCTCATGTCTACTAGGGTTGAGCAAAAAAACGAACACCTGTTCGGTTTGCCTCGAACGTGTTCGAGGCGAACCGAACAGGTTTTTTTTTTTGGCTTAAAATGTTCGCCGAACAGTGTTCGATGTTCGCCCGAACACGTTCGTGTTCGGGCCTAGGGATGAGCAAAGGGCGAACTCGAACACGTTCGGGTTCGAGTTCGCTCGAACATCACCATTTCCCGAACCGAACAAGGTTCGATTCGGCGAACAATTTGGCAAGCAGGAGGTGTTCGCCGTTCGCCCATGGGGGCGAACATTTGGTATATGTGGGCGAACTCGAACATGTTCGGTTCGAACATGTTCGAGTTCGCCCGTGGGCAATTTCGTTATAGTCACATTGGTCAAACAGGGAATCTGGAGGGTTGGGAAGATAGATAGGGGGTTGGAGGGTGTATATGTGTTCATGCAACGCACACTAGCATACGACACCATCATGTTTTGCCTATATAAAAGTCACTGTCAAATTAAATCCTACGCCTGCACACCACTGCTACTACCAACAACAGCATGCTCCGCGTCAGAGGCGTCGCCAGCACCCACCCCCTCCTGCTCCTCCTCCCCCTCGCCTTCAATGGCGAACTTTGGTGGTGCCTCGCCTTTTGCACGGCGGCCCTCGCCTATCCTCTGTCCCGGGTGTGAGTTGTACCATGATCTGAGAATCATGGAAGCTCGCGTCCTCTGAGAGGCTAGGCGGTGCCGCTTCCAGGAAATGAGGTTGCGGCCGAGGGAGAACACGCGCTCGCTCGACGCGGACGTGGCAGGGATGGCAAGATAATCCCGGGCCATGCGCCTCAGCGTCTGCATGTTGGTGGCGCTGCGCCAATACTCCAACGCTGACACGTCGCACCGCACCCTCTCAGATAAGTACCTGCCAACCTCGTCATCCTGCACCATCCCACCCCTCCCCGCCTCCTGGCTCGCCGACAGACGCGCCGCAAGGCGTCGGCGGCTAGGGAGAAACTCGGCGTCTTCGTCGTCATCCGCCGCGTCTCCCTCCTCCTCCGTCACTTGGGCAAGTGGTGTCAGTAGATCTGCATTGTGGATGCCCGATTGATCCTGGAGAGGGTTACAGGCGCGTTCGCCTGGGGGGTTATGGGCGCACTGATCCGCTACTGAAACAAGCCCTTTTATCCCAATGGTCTAGTGGTTGGGATTCTGACATGGTATCAGAGCGGTCTCGGGTTCGATTCCCGGTGTATGCACATGTAGGCCGTTGCCGCTGTGCTTAGTCCTGGGCCTCCCAGTGTGGGGGGGTGTCAGTAGATCTGCACTGTGGATGCCCGATTGATCCTGGAGAGGGTTACAGGCGCGTTCGCCTGGGGGGTTATGGGCGCACTGATCCGCTACTAAAACAAGCCCTTTTATCCCAATGGTCTAGTGGTTGGGATTGTGACAAGTGGGGTCGGCCGAGGGGCAATCGCTGCAGCCCGGACCTGGTACTCGGCCACGCGTTCGCGAACCAGCTGGATCACCTCGCCTGACGAGGGGCGAGGCCTCGCCCTCCGGTCGGTATCGGGATGCAGCGTCTCCCAGTGCGCGTCGTCAAACCACGCCGCCTTCATGGAAGGGTCCAGGAAGGTCGCGATCCACAGCTCGTTGCTTGACATCAGTTCATACTTCTTCAAGAGACCCAGCGCCGCCTCAATCATCGGCTTCAGCGTAGCCGATGGCCCCTTCGCAAGGCGCGACTCCATAGCGTCGATCAGTCCGTTGTAGTACGGCAGGACCATCGCCACTGTAGGGTACGCCGCTCCCTCCGCGGCCTTCGAGACTTTGGCGAATGGGCTGAGGAAGGTCCTGACAGAATGCAGAGTCTCCCAGTCTGCGTCCGTCAGGCGCAAGGTGTCCAGCTTCGCCTTGTCAGTCTTCGACACGCCCTGTCGGGTAGAACGTATGGGTGGGTGGGTGTTTAGGCAAGTCAAGCATGGCCAACAGTGGTGCAAGTCCCAAAACAAAACACCCCGACATACCCACAAATTAAACCGCATACACAACACCTGGCACACACACACACACACCTGTGTCTGGGCAAAGAAGACAGTGATGGGTTCTTGCAGAACCCCAGCTCGCTCGACCATGTCTTGGGTCGACCCCCACCGCGTGGGACTGTCCTGCACCAACTTCAACGCCGGCTTCAGTTTGGCGGGGTTGGCCTGCGCGTTCAGGATCCGCTGAAGGCCCAAGAACTTCCCTGAGCGCTGTGGCAAGTAGCCTATCCACGACGCCATCTCTCTCAGAATCTTCAGCAACTTGCTTATGGCGGTCTCAGCGAGAGCTGCCTTCACTGCAAGGTTGATCACGTGTGCCAGGCATCTGCGCACATCACAAAACATTCATGGCGGAGAGAAAGGGAAGTGTGAGTACACATTGGCATAGACCCGAGAAACACTACCACTCTCAAGCCGCATAGGCCCACCCGCCCGTACTACAGCCACAAAATGTTCACAGGAACGACGCGCCCAAACTTCCTCATTGCACATCCCACGCACACTCCCTTCCATACCGGAAGTGCATGCGCGAGTTGAAGAAGCACTGGCCACCACCCTCCTCCGACATCCACCTGAAAGCGGCAGTGTTGCTGGAGGCGTTGTCTGAGGTGAACCCAAGACAACGCGTCTCCAACCCCCACTGCACCACTCTCTCCTCAACCACCCTCGCCATCTGCTTGCCCGTGTGACGCCCGTGAATCTCGCGGAATTCAAACACCATTGTGCGCAGCTAGAAATTCTCGTCGATCAAGTGACCCGTTACCACTAGCCACGCCCTGTTGTTGGGCGCCGTCCACATGTCGATGGTGAACGACACCCCGCACCCCACCTCCCCCTCCTTCACCAGCATCTCCGCAACGGCTGACTGAAGAGCGGCAGCCGCATAGACCACTGTGTCGCGGGAAACCGTCCAGCGCGAGGGGATGAAGTTCTTCTGCGCGCAGTTGCGGTTTAGCAGGATGAGTAGCTCACGAAACTGGAGAGGGGTATAGACAAGGGGGGAGAGGGGAGTAAACGTCAGGGGGATGGGATGAAAATAATATAGCACTGGGCCACACGCAAACAGTCAAAACACAAAGGGACAGACCCGTCCACTAGCCACATACTTGCCCAAACAAAATCATGGGATGGGATGGGGCACTTACAGCCTCGGCCTCGACGATGCGGAAGGGGAGGTCGCAGGTGACCACCAGCTTCGTGATCGCCTGCCGTAGCTGCACCGAGGTCAGTTTGGTTGTCATCCACCTCTCGATCCCGCCTGACCCATCACCTCCACCAGTCGCCTTCCCTTTCCCCTTGGCGAGCTGCGGCCAAGTCTTGGCATGTGGCCACTGATAGACGTAGCCATCCGGCACTCCCTTGTAGCCCCCACGGGGAAACGTCTCCCCTAGCAAGTGAACGGACGGGGTGTGGTAACGGTGATGCCACACATGCATGTGCGCAGTGTGGAAGCTCGCAAAGTGCCGCTCGCCGGGGGTTGTTGTGGATTGCTTCCACGAAATCCTGTCTGTGCAAATCTTGCACTGACGCTTCCCGTCTGCCCCTAACGGTCCGAACATCATAACTTGCCACCCCGGCTTCCTATTACCCTTGCCAGTCCTCTTACTACTCTCGGACCCTCCGTCCTCGTCTAGGAACTCGGGGGCAATCACACCCTCACCCAAGGGCTCCCCAGTGAACGTGCAGGGATACGCCCGCTCCCTCAACTTTTTGGCCTTCTTCCTCAGCCTCGGCTCCCTAATGGTCACGGCCTTTCTCCCCCCCACCTTAACCCCCACGCTCCCTCCCCCTTCACGTACATGCTGTGATCCCGCCTCTGACGCCGCCCTTCCACCACCCTCTCCCACCTCCTCCTCCCGCCCCTCTGGCTCCAACCCATCCATCTCGTGGTCTTCATCATCTCCCCCCTCCCCACCGCCATGCGTCTCTGGGTCCCACGCCGCCTCGCTGTCATCCCCGCTCCCCTCACTGTCCTCCTCCTTCTCGCCCTCACCATCCTCCTCCTCATCCTCCTCTTCATTACCGCTCGCCGGCGGCGTCTGCCCCGAAGGAGGGGGTCGAGGGCCGTCGTAACGGAAAGAGCGACGGGAGGTCGGCGCCGGTACGGTAAGCAACCCCCCAACGAAGATCGCGCCGGCTCCTCCCGGTCCATCCCCTACTCGCCCCTGCATAGGTCGTGGTGGAGAGCCCGGTGCGCTGCCTTGAGCCCTGCCTGCACCTCTGCCTATGGATCCACCAGCCCTGGAAGCCATAACTCCGCCCTCGACCCTAAACCCTAAAACACCCTTCGTGCAACGGTAGCGTTGGATGGTGCCGCACGTTCCTAAACGTTATCCCGCACGGTTAGGTCTCTGAAATGCCCGATCCGAATCCTACGGCGTAGGATACGCCCTACTTTAGCCCTTTGCGGAGATGCTGGCTGAACTTTAATAGTAACCCTAAACACCCTACACTACGTTAAACCCTATGCATAGATCTAATGTCCGTGTACATTGCAAGTATCGGCGTGCACTTGCTTGCACCTAGAACAAGAAGGCTAGGGCGGCTGTGTGAGGGAGCGCTAAGGCGAAAACGAGTTCTGAGTTTGAGCTCACGAAATGAGCTCAAACACAAATTGGTCGCGACCTAAATCTGGTCGCGGCCAATTTTGACGCGAACCTTTTTGGTGTTCGCGTGGCCCCCAAGTCGAACACAAACATGTTTGTGTTCGGCTTGGAGGCCCGAAATTCTGGGGCGAACGTCGAACATGTTCGGCCGAACACCGAACATGTTCGGCCCCGAACAATTTAGGAAAAAAAAAAAAGCCTGTTCAGTTCGCCTCGAACATGTTCGAGGCGAACCGAACAAGGGTTCGGAATTTTGCTCATCCCTATTCGGGCCGCTGCTGCAATTTGCCCGCGACGAACACGAACAGTGTTCGAGGTTCGAACGAACACGCCTTCAAAGGCGAACGGCGAACACCATTTTTTGCTCAAAGTGTTCGCCGAACCGAACAATGTTCGGTTCGGCAAACGAAGGTGTTCGTGTAGGGGCGAACACGAACACGTTCGTGTTCGCCACTTGCTCATCCCTAATGGCACGCACAATGAGTGGTGACACCTAGAGTGTGGGCTGTGTAGGGTTCTCAACTCCATCAGTTAAAACTCCCTAGCCATCGTTCCTTGCATTTCGGGACATTGCATCCCGTGTATATTTTCCAAAACGCCTACTACTAAAATTGTTCTATTCATTCATAGTGTTGAAATAAACTCGTTGAAGTCATTAACCGGCACTAGGATTGCCTTGCTCTCTCCCCCTCATCATTCTTTCTTCCTTTTTGCCCGAAGTTTTCTTCATCTTCCATGGATTGTTTTTTTATCTTACACCTACTGTCATTCATTTCTATATTCGGCATATGGATGGGCATGTAGTCAGCCATATTGTCTGGTCGCACTGGGTCACGATCGGGTTTGCATTGCATGATCTGCTCCTTCGTGTCACAACCACCCCAAATCTGGCGAGTTTACCAGGGTCCTGACCTAACCCGAATAGTCATGAGTAACAGTCGAACATGAATATGTTTGACGCGAATGCATTCGAACATGCGCGTGTGCTGAACCGAACTGGTAGAGTTGGACTCAAGCCCTAAACTTTTTTTCGTTTTTTTTCGAGAATATGTGGTTCGACTGTTACCAGAAAGTCAAACCCTATTGTGAACAAAAACATGTTCGAGTTTTAGGCTTCATAAAAAATTTCAGGTTGCGGGAGCACTTGCTTTTTACTTAGGATTACTGCATCTGGATTCTCGTAGAAAAAGAAATAATATCAGTTTCCTAGCCTTGACCAACCCCGCAAAACAGGATTCCCACCTGTTCGCAGAATTTGAACAGTGAGAAACGTCTAACTAGGATAGGCATGGGCATTAGCCCAACCCGAGCCGACCCGTCTAGGCCGTGGGGTCGAATTTCCACGACCCCGGGAATTTAGGCCAAGGATGTTGACCCGACCCGCCCAGTACCTCTCGGGTATCTCTGACCCAAGGTCGGGTCCGGTATACCTGAATATCCTTTTGTTAGTTGTATTAAAAGCAAAAAATTGTTCAACCTGGACTAATTTAAAGGCATCTGTGAGGTTACTTTAGGGTGAGAGTTGGTATTGTATATTGGTGGGTAGGTGAGATCTAGGTTGTTGAGAAAGGGTTGGATATGGATACTGCTGAGTCTTGTGAGTTGGGGGTTGGGGGAAGCATTCGCAAAATTTGTAAGTTGGGATGTGGGGGAGCAGAATTCGCCAATTCGTGAGTTTGGGGGGGGGGGGGGGGGGGGGGGAAGTTGGGGATATGGGGGTGCCGAGCCGAACTATGCAAATTCATGAATCTGCAAATTTAAGGGTGCTGAACTTTGCAAATCATGTAAGCTGGGGGGTTGGGAGAGCTTGTTGCATCTAAGTGGCCATTACGTGGGAGGAGATTGTTGTATTGGGGGGTGGGGATCCAGATCCCGAGTTGGATCTCGCAATAGTCAAATCCAGCCCAGTCGTTTTTTATCTGTGATCTGAAAGGTCAACATCTTTCGACCTATCAAAATCATAACCCTTGGCACACCCCGTCGGATACGGGTATACCCGACCCAGTTACGAGTTAGTGACCTAAGTTCGGGTTGGGTATACTCGACCCGAAGGGTAATCAATATCCCGACTTTGGACACCCAGGTCGGATACCTGGTATTTTGTACCCGCCCGAGTATACACTACTCGACCCGCCTGGGTAGTCAATCCAAATATAAGGACTCGACCCTACTAAAATTCCGGTCGTGCAGGTCTTTTGCCCATGCCTAAATGTAACTATTACGGGAATGATTACGGTCTATTCAAACAAGGTTCGTCCCTAGTCAGGCTGGCCGTAGACATTTTGACCCAAATCCAGCCTGTTAAGCCCGGCTGTGCAATACGGTTCGGCTCTGTTCGGGTTCAGTCAGCCTGGGTCAGGCCGCTTTTGACCCGTCTTGTCTGTCCTAGCAGAGGGAACCCGCATTGAGCGGAGCGGCCCAGGCTCAGCCTATGCTTATCCCTATTCCAGGCCCAGGTCAGCCCAAAATTCGATTTAATATTTACATGTGGCTGTCTCATGGCTGCGTCATGGCTGCCTGTCTCATCCCTCAATTGGTCGACAATGTGTGCTTGCTGTCCCTCGGTCCATGCCCACCATTCTCATCTTCTCACTTGTTCAACCCAACCCACGTCACACACACACATGTCTCTTTCAAACAACAATTTGACGGGCTTTATTTCCAACAGCATTTCCGGGCTTTCTCAGCTCATCCTTCTGTAGGAAGCTCCTTTTAGTCATAAGCACGAACATGATCGATGTTTGCATGAACCCTAATTCTCTGAAGACTTCGTTCTAGGTCGCTGGTCGAATAGTTTACGAGTCACGCACGAGAAAAAAAACAAGGACTTTTGGAAGTGGAGTGAAAACGTATATGATCAAGCTTTTGAGTCGACTCAAAAGCAGACTGTTGAGTCGACTCAAAAGTGGAGTGAAAACGTATATCTTTTGAGGCGCCTCAAAAGATCAAATTGAAGGAAGCTGAGCCAAGGCTGAAGATCTAACTCTTCCTACTTTGTCCCCCTCCCAGGCCAGGTTCTACGCACCAAGACGCGTCGAACTGGGATGGGATCGTGACTCGATCCAGTTCGACCAATGAGAGTCGAACATGACTCCTCGAATCAAACATCAATTCTCTTTTCACTATGCCTGCCTCCCACCATGCCTGTCTCATCCCCCGATTTAATAGGCCATGTGTCCTTGCTGTCGCTCAGTCCAAGTCTACTGTTCTCATCTCCTCAGTTCTTCCACTCTGAACCACTCATACACTCTCAAGTCTCTGTCAAACAACATGTTAACGGGCTCCATGCCCAACAGCATCTCTAACCTCGTGCAGCTCGATTATCTGTATGAAGCACCTCGTCTAAACCTAATCAAAGATCTCATCAACTCCAATACCACACAGAATCCTTAGACAAATAACCTAGATGCCACACGCAAACAAGAAAACTAGGATTTTCGGGTAATCAAACGGTCACGCATGAGCAAACGGCCTAACCGGTCGGGCCAGCCCGAATTGACCCGGGATTTTGCCCGGGTCAAGTCAGGACTTTCAATTTCTTGGCCCGGCCGGGTCGATTCGGTCCGGCCTGGGCCAAAACCCGACCCGATGTTGTCCCCATCAATCTATATCATTTGCTTATGTTTTTTTATTAGACAGTTCGTTCAGTATATGTTTCCCGGTTTATCCATGTTGCTTCTACTCAGATATAATATTGATATTAACTCTTCTGAAGCTTATGGCCAACCAGCATTAGGGTCGTCTTGCTCTTTTCCTCCCTGTCAACTCCCTCTCCCTCATCTCGCATGGGCTGCGTTTCATGTCTGTCAGGAGTATACAAGGGAATCGCTTGGTTGGATCCATTCCATCCTCTCTCGGCCGCTTGGTCAAACTGGAGAACCTGTAAGTCTCATAGGCTATCGGATAGCCTATGAGCAACGAGCCGAACCTAGGTTCTGTTCGTTCAAACAGGTTCGAGTTAACTCGAACTGAACTTTTTTTCTAGTCAAAAAAGTTTGAGCAAACTTCTAAAAAGTTTGCGCGAACTGTTCGCGCAAACTTTTTAGGTTTGAGTTTAGGACTTCAAACCGAACAGGTTCGAAGTTCAAAACTGTCTAATTCGAACAGCGTGGGGTTCGAAGTAGGCACCCGCCAAATCCCACGCGACTTTCCCACGGGAAAGTCGAATGGTTGGCTGCCATTTCACGGCAGCCAACCCTAAACTCGTAGCTTAAAGCTGCGGTCTACATACCAAATGGCATTTTCTGGGGGTATTTCGGGTGCACACCCTAAGACGCAGTCTGATTTGCGCACGAAATGATCCCTTTCCAGAAATGAGAGCGCGAAGGATTCAAACACAACTGGCGAATCCCGCGAGTTTCGTGCAAGGTTTGGTTGGGGGGGTACTTTTTTCGTGAGGTTGGGGTTGTAGTGGCGATTTCGCCACAACCTGCAACCAATCGAGGTTGGGGGGTAGATTGGCGCGAAATTTGTAAGCCAATCCTGAGCAGGCCAGCTTTCAGAGGGGGGGTTGGGTTGTCAGAAAGCAGTAACTGCACCTCGCCACCCAAGTGATAAACCAGGTCCTCCCGCAGGAGGTATGTAGGCGACAGCTTTAACTAGAGCAGATCTGTATCTGCTCTTAAAGGGCAGAACCCGAATTCCTC